CGCCTTTGTTCTGCCAATATCAGACAAACAATTCTTTCTCTCTCTCGTTAGTTCTGCAGATCTCTGGGCCCATCAATATCTTGCTTCATCCACCTGTCTGTTTTGGCCCTATGCATATGCACCCGTGCGTGGCTGAGGCTGGAAATATTTATGGCAATTAAAATGTTTTGCCCGGAAGCTGTTTGGGGGGTTGGTTTTTTGGTTTTTTTGAAGTGAGGATTTTTCAGACTTCAAGGTGTTAACAGCCCCTTCTAAATGGTTTTGTTTTTTAATTGCAGCAAATGACTGTGGAGCCATTAAACATTCGCCCCCCTCTCTTTCTCTCTGCAGTTGTTTCTAAGCCCTTCCAGTCCTCCTTCTATTTATTCTTTTTAATTCACTCAGGTAGCTTCGGGGCAGAGAAGATCAATACTTTACTTTGATAGAAAAGAGTCAGGTTTGAAACACAGAGATAAAACTGAAACATTTTGTATAAATTTAATTAAAAATGCACCTTTAGTGGCTTGTTGCAAGCACAAAGTGAGCCCTCCATCTCGCCCCCTTTCGGTCTATCCGCTCTATCTACATGGCGCTGTCCTCCCCCGACCACCACCCCCCCATGGGCTCCCCCCCCCCCCCCCCTCCCCCTCTCTCTCCCTTTCTCTTTCCTCCCCCCCCCCCCCCCCCCACCTAACAGGAAATCTTGGAATCTGCCTCGCCAACAAAGCCGACTTTATTTTAGTGTGTGCTCCTCTCCCTTTTTGCCTTGAACATTTTTAGCATTCGGGAGCTTGAAGGCATGTGAAATTCTAAGCAGGTTGGCTCTTCCCTTTCTTTTGGCAGTGGAGGGAGAATATTCCCAGCTGATGGGAAGAATCAGTTGAGACAGGGATTTGTTTTAAAATCTCAACAGAAAATAATAATAATAATAATAATAATAATAATAATAATAATAACAACAACAACAACAGTAATAATAATAATTAAAAGGAGGAGGAGGAGGAGGAGGAGGCAGCGGTGGCGACGGCCAGGATTGAAAAATCAGCTGATGCCCCCAAATGCAGACTGTGCAAGGAAGCTGATGAAACCATTGATCATATCCTCAGCTGCTGCAAGAAAATCGCACAAACGGACTAAAAACAGAGGCACAACTCTGTGGCCCAAATTATTCATTGGAACTTATGTCACAAGTACCACCTGCCAGTAGTAAAGAACTGGTGGGATCATAAACCTGCAAAGGTAGTGGAAAATGAACACGCAAAAATACTGTGGGAGTTTCGAATGTAGCCTGACAAAGTTTTGGAACACAATACGCCAGACATCACAATTGTGGAAAAGAAAAAAGTTTGGATTATTGATGTCGCCATGCCGGGTGACAGTCGCACTGAAGAAAAACAACAGGAAAAACTCAGCCGTTATCAGGACCTCAAAATCAAACTGCAAAGGCTCTGGCATAAATCAGTACAGGAGGTCCCAGTGGTCATTGACACACTGGGTGTCATGCCAAAAGATCTCAGCCAGCATTTGGAAACAATTGACAAAATCACGATCTGTCAACTGCAAAAGGCCACCTTACTTGGATCTGCACACATCATTTGAAAAGACATCTCACAGTCCTAGACGCTTGGGAAGTGTTTGACTCGTGATTTTGTTATACAAAATCCAGCATATAGATCTTGTTTACTGTGACATACTCTGGTTTTGTGTCAGAATAATAATAATAATAATAATAATAATAATAATAATAATAATAAACATTATTTGTATTCCGCCCTATCTCCCCAAGGGGATTCAGGGAGGATTCCAACATAACAACGGCAAACATACAAGACTACATAAAACAAACAATACTGTCATAAACTCCCAGAAAAAACCCACATATAAAAATAACATTAAAACCTCACATCAAATTAAAACCTAACATCAGTAAATTAAACCAACATCAATAAATTAAATTACACGTAGTCAGACAAAATTCTATAATAACATCAAATCTAAACAAAACATCCACATTAATTTACAACAGCCAGCAATGGTTCACAAAATGATGTGGGTTGATTATGTCTTCAAATGAGGGCATTGGGCTGGCGTGGACCAGGAAACCCAAACACAAATAGTTCTCAACCAGAGGCCCGGCAGTGATCTCTCAACCATCTAGTGAGCAGAAGAATGTCTTCAGTTATTTTTTAAAGGAGAGGAGGGAGGGGGCAACTTTATTTCTTTAGGGAGGGAGTTCAAGAGGGCCCTTTCTCTTGTTCTCACCAGCCATACTTGAGATGGGGGTGGGACCGAGAGTGGGACCTCCTCCGATGACAGCAATGCCTGGGCAGGTTTGTAAGAGGAGATGCAATCGGTCAAGTAGCCTGGACCCAATGCATTTCTCACAGGGATGCCTTAAGATTCCCTTTTCAGGAACACCATAGATCCCATTACACCCATTTGTTGCCAGTTTTAGGAAAAGGTCCAAAGAGAGATCAGAGAAATCACCAATCCTGCCAGCTTTAAATATATATGAGCCAAGAACCTAACAGCATTTTTGTTATTAGCAGCTTGGCATTCTAAGTAGAAATAATGTCTAATTTTTATATGGATAACTAGTATGGAAGCATGTGAATATGTAACAACATTGGAGAAATTGGCCCAACAGGAAAACCAAACCAGAGAAGGGCTTGTCTCTGATGCTTCATAGCTGGCATTAATGTGATTTCAAGTTGAGATCTTGTATGAATCACAATCCAGATCTCATGAGAAACCTCATGAGACTTCAAATATCATGAGACTCACAAGACTTTAGGAGATTTCTAGCAGATTGCCAGGTGGACAATTTTTGGATTGATCTTTCTCCCACACTTGGTACTAAGCACAGCAGGCTAAACCGCTGTGCTGCACAAAAATCATGCAGATCGGAAATTCAGCAGTTTGAGCCCAGGTTGGGGTGAGCACCCGCCATTAGCTCCAACTCACCTGCCCACCTAGCAGAAATGTGAGTAGATAAAATAGGTACCGCTTTTAGTGGAGAGGTAATAAAGGTGCCCTTAAGAACATTGACCAGAGAAAGCTCCTTAGCATGGAAGATGGTGCAAAAGCATCCCCCTGTGACCAAAGTTGGGCACAGCCTCCATCATGCTGGAAATAAGATAGGAGAAACTTCCTTTACCTCTGTTTGTGTTGTGTGTCCTTGTTGATTGTATAATCAGCACTGAATGTTTGCCGTATGTGTGTTCTGTAAAAGCCGCTCTGAGTCCCCTTCGGGGTGAGAAGGTTGGGGTATAAATATTGTAAATAAACAATCAAATAAATAAATACTATTACACTTCCTTGCAAATCTCTGGTTTGTGGCTGGTTGTTTGGGTTATTGTGACACATTTTTTCACCTTCCCTGATGTTTCCTCTCACTTCATATAGGACTTATTTATTTATTTATTTATTTAGCAGTTTTGTATACCGGTCTTCTCACCTCCGTTCGAGGGACTCAGGCCAGTTTCCAACATCAATATTACAGACAGTCATTAAAACATCATATCTTCGATCATGACTATTCACCTTCATGTTGCTCCTCACAAACAGATTTCTTGCTGCCTCTGGCTGGCTGCTGAGACCAACAGTTCTAACTGTCATTCTGCCATTGTTCTTACTTTGGACAGTGAAGAGAAAGTGCTGGCTGCCAACTATCTTAAAGACTGATCATTTTAAGACATGAGGCTTATTTTAAAGACTATATAAAAGTGCTATTTTATTGTCTGTCTGAATTCAAAGAGACTGATGTATATATTTTTACCATGTTTGAACCTTTAAACTAAAGTAAAGCTACTGTTACTTCTTTTGCAAGCCTGAGTGCCATTTTACTATACAGCAGGATATACCTTGGTTTAAATACTGTGGTAAAGCTTCTACTTTTTCTGCTTATTCAAATTTACCAGCGCTCACACATATGATGCATTAAATTTGTAGCCATCCCATTTATTCCATAAGTTGGTGTCCAGTGTCTCACAACAAACAGAAACTATTACTTATAGAATAATTAGCTTTCCTTCATAAGTTTTGCCGATCCAAAATGTGCTTTCCACGCCTGTTTGGGAGAAGCTCATTTGGATAATGCTAGACTTTCTCTCTATAGATCCCCTTAGGCAAAGAGATAGTGAATGATACAAACCATCCAATCAACTTTGGATAATTGATAGTATGGTCAAAAATGCTCTAGAATTGTACTTTGACCTTTATTGTAAAGACTGACATTTTTTACTGTTAACTAGTTGTGAATATTTGTAATCACATTATTTTGGGGGTGCTTTTTTAACTGGGTTCCATGATAAGAAAGCATTCCTTCCTCACTTTCTCTTGTTTGCCATCTTCTCTCTCCCTAACCCAGCTGCCAGGGAAGACATTTGTCTTGTTTTACAATCTGGCCCTTTCACCCTCTTCCCCTACATGTCTCTCTTTCTCAATCCTGTTTGGCTTGGTTCATTTTTCACATGAGTGGCTTTCCCCTCAGTGTCCCCCCTCTGCTCTAGTCTCCTTGTGCTCAACACCAATAAAACACACACAACATAGGTAGGACAAGGTGCCAGGGCTCAGTGTGACAAACTGCTCACATACCGCTCAATAACCACAGCTGTAAATATTCCCTTGCCTACTTCCCCTTGGCTGGGAGCTGGTGATCATGGTATAAGAGTTGCTGGTTTGACCCAAAACAGCCCCACCGTTAGCACCCACTACCACAAGATGCATTTCTATAGGCTTTTGTGGCTTTGATTGTGTTATATTTGTTTTTGCTGCATAATTTTTCAAAACCAGAGTTGCAATATGAAGAAGGTAGTGAGCTTTGAAATCTATATTATATTATTAGTAAAGCACAGGAGACAAGATAGAACTGTCTCTCTCCCTCTCTCTCTTCACTCTGGCCCAGAGCAGCAGTTAATGCTGGGGGGGGGGGGGGGGCTCCCACCGATGACATAGGCAGGAGACAAGATGGAATGGAGATGAGCCCCCCCCCCCCCCGATGGACATGACTAGACTTAATGTCAGGGGAAAACTTTACCTTTACTACTTTCCAAAAGCAAGGCATTCTTAGCAGTGGTCTAAGGTATAAAATTCATATACTGTAGTTCTATCACCAATACTAAAATAAAGGTCTTTAAAAATTCAACAAGTTTCGTTACTTGCTTGGCTATCAGTTACTATTGTCCATTTTATACATGGTTTTGCCTAAGTTTTAAGAGGGGCAATTTTATGCTTTTGCATATTATTGCACTGTTTGGTTCTGTTTATTTTTTGGCTATCCATCAAAAGGCCCATAAGGCAGTTCAGGAACTTGCAAATACATTAAAATTGCATGCAGATTCATGCATGGATGCACACAAATGCACACATAAATGTAGATGTTGTGGAGGGCTGATTTTCCTACGCCACGGATGCTTGGCAAAAGGTATGTCCTAGCACTTCTCCCGTGAACAAATTCTGAGTAAAATGACTGGAGAGTGAAAAGGCCCAAGGAGTTTCTCTGACAAGAGGTAGTATAATCTATATACTCGCTCGTCCTCATGGGGAAGCAGGAGCAAGTTTGTTTTCTGCTGCCGTGGAGACTAGGATGCAAAACAATAGTTTCAAACTACAAGAAAAGGGGATTCCACCTGAACATGAGGAAGAATTTCCTGACTGTGAGAGCTGTTCAGCAGTGGAACTCTCTGCCCTGGAATGTGTTGGAGGCTCCTTCTTTGGAAGCTTTTAAGCATAGGCTGGATGGCCATCTGTCAGGGGTGCTTTGAATGCGATTTTCCTGTTTCTTGGCAGGGGTTGGACTGGATGGCCCACGAAGTCTCTTCCAACTCAAGGATTCTATTATTCTACTAGAGTCCCCTGCCACGTGTTGCTGTGGCCCAGTCTGGTGATCTGGAAAATAAAGTAATAAGAAAGTGTTGGTTTCTAATATATGTAATTATTTTATGCTTGTGGGTAAACAGTTTGGTTCAATTTTATCGTTGGTAGGGTTTATTTACTTACTTACTTACTATATTTGTATATTGCCCTTCTCAGCCTTTCAGGCAACTCAGGGTGATTGTAGGTGAACTGTAAATCCCAGCAACTACAACTCCCAGATGTCAAGGTCTATTTTCCCCAAACTCCATCTGTGTTCATATTTGGGCATATGGAGTATTTGTGCCAAGTTTGGTCCATTGCTTGAGTCCACAGTGCTCTCTGGGTGTAGGTAAACTATAACTCCAAAACTCAAGGTCAATGCCCACCATACCCTTCTACTGTTTTATGTTGGTCTTGGAAGTCCTGTGTGCCAAGTTTGGTTCAATTCCATCATTAGTGAAGTTCAAAATGCTCTTTGATTGTAGGTAAACTATAAATCCCAGCAACCTCAACTCCCAAATGACAAAATCAATTTTTTTGAGTGATGGTCACTTCTTGGGTTAGTAGGTGTCTTCTGGCCAAATTTGGCGAAAATTCATCCAGTGGTTTTTGAGTTATGTGAATTCCACAAATGAACATTACATTTTTATTTATATAGATTACTCTAAACAAGAGTCTGTGTGCAAAGAAGCAGGTACACAAATCACCAGACAGAGTACCTCTGAAATATGCCTTTAGGAATATAACGCAGAGGATGTCATTGTGCTGGTGTGCTAAGCACCGAGGACTGCTTTCTTGTGGGAGGTGCACGTTGCTAGCATGCTGCTATAGGGCACACTTCCAGTGCCTCTGCTTATGCTTTTAATCATGGCAAATGAATGTTTCCAAGCAGGCAGAAAAGATGCCCAGCTTTTTGTGTTCCTCTACTGGAGCCATCTCTGCTCTGCTATTAGTGCTGGTAATTGAGTTGCTTTTGTATGTGTGCTGTGTATGTTATTTTTTTAAAAAAAAAATTGGCACATTTAATTGAAACAGAATTCAGAATCAGGACCCTGCGGGCTGCACTTGTTGAAAGAAGAAATAAAGATCGTTTGGGTCACCTCTTTTTGTAATTTGCGTTTAATAATCGTTCCAGGAGGTACATACAAAGGGAGAGGAGACATGAGAGGCAGCAACCCAGTGGGCTTCTCCCCACCTCCCCCTGCCTCACAGCCCTTTCAGTGGGAACGAGGGAGGCCTGAAAGAGAAGCTCCCTTTTCATCTGCGGGGTGGGACCACACTTGGATCTGCCAGCTCCAAAAGACAGAGGGTTAGTTCCCCTGGTGAGGGGCAAGGTAGCGCTGAGAGCTGGTAGCAGCAGTGAGGGAACAGCTCCCTGCTTTTCTGCGGTTATCTGAATCATGTTTTACATATATGGGCTCACTAAAGCCATAGCAGAAGCCTTGCTCTGTAGGGTCTGGCTCACGCTTAGGGGCAGAGGTCATACCAGCTGATGCGGACTTTGGTTCTGATTGAAGTTAGAGTTGCAATGAATGTTTTTTGTTGGCATTTATGGGCACTTCTCGTGCAGCTTGGATCTGGTCTGCACAGAAGACTAATACATCAGTTTGTGTCCTCAATGAGACTGAGTTTTTGTTTTCTAGATGGCCTGTATCACCCTGCCATAGCTAAGCAGAAGCTATACTGAATATTATTATGTTAAGAACGAAGGTGTGATGGTGGCAAGAAAGAGTTTCATTTGTCTTGCTCCGTATGAAGAAATAATTTTAATCAGCACTGATGTGGAATGAACATGTTCACCTCAAATACCAGTAAAGGTAAAGGTTTCCCCTGACTTTAAATCTAGTAGTGTCTAGTTATAGGGGGTGGTGCTCATCTCCATTTCTAAGCCGAAGAGACGGCGTTGTCTGTAGACAACTCCAAGGTCACGTGGCCAGCATGACTGCATGGAGCACCGCTACCTTCTCACATAAACATTAACTCTTGATCTACTCATATTTGCATGTTTTCGATCTGCCATGTTGGCAGAAGCTGGGCCTAACAGCAGGAGCTCACCCTGCTCCCTGGATTCAAGCCTCCAACCTTTCAATCAACAAGTTCAGCAGCTCAGCGGTTCAACCCACTGCGCCACCAGGCCCCTCTATTTTCACAACCCAACTAAGGCATCTAGCCCAGCATTTCTCAACCTGGGGGCTCAGGACACCTAGGGAGGTCATGAGGGGGTGTCAGAGGAGTCACCAAAGACCATCAGAAAACACTGTATTTCCTGTGGTCATGGGGGTTCTGTGTGGGAAGTTTGACTCAATTCTATCGTTGGTGGGGTTCAGAATGCTCTTTGATTATAGGTGAATTATAAATCCCAGCAACTACAACTCCCAAAGGTCAAGGTCTGTTTCCCCTAAACTCCACCAGTGTTCACATTTGAGCATATTGAGGATTTGTGCCAAACTTGGTCCAGATCTATCATTGTTTGAGTCCACAGTGCTCTCTAGATGTAGGTGAACTACAGCTCCAAAACTCAAGTTCAATGCCCACCAAACCCTTCCAGTATTTTCTGTTGGTCATGGAAGTTCTGGTCGCCAAGTTTGTTCAGTTCCATCATTGGTGGAGTTCAGAATGCTCTTTGATTGTAGATGAACTATAAATCCCAGCAACTACAACTCCCAAATGACAAAACCAATCACCACCAACCACATCAGTATTCAAACCTGGGTGTATCGGGTTTTTGAGCCAAATTTGGTCCAGTGAATGAAAATACATCCTGCATATCAGATATTTACATTACAATTCAGTACAAAAATTACATTTATGAAATAGCAATGAAAACCACAACATGAGGAAATGTATTAAGGGGTTGCGGCATTAGGAAGGTTGAGAAACACTGATTTAGTCAGTCCAGTATTCTGTTCCCACAGAATACTGGACTATCATGAGAGGGCCAAATACAAGAAACCAGCAAAATGTCATTCACTACATTGTGTTATTCAGCAAGGTATACTGTCTCTGATACTGGAAGCAATATACACCCATCAGGAGCTATTGACACCCTTGTCCTCAATTCATTGCTCTGGTCATGCCTTCTGGTCATGATAAGTGGAATGAATTTATTAATTACGGACTTGGTAAAACTATGGACACCAGGCCGAAATAAATAAATAAATAAATAAATAATAAATTCTGCCACTTCATGTGACAGCAAATTCTACTGCCATGCATTCATTTTCACATCTTGATCTATTCAGTCCAACACAATTTGCATAGAGAGAGATATTCATGACTAATATCATCCGGAAATGAAGAGCATGATACTAACCCCTTACTCTATTTTAAATACTGTTTTAACCTTCCTATCTCTTCCTATCATTTCTTCCCTTATTCCATTGCCTTCTTTAGTTTTAATTGTAATATAGTCATGTTTTTCCCCCAGTTTCAACAATTTAATAAGCTACATAGCAGTGCATTCTTCTTCTTATTTCACTCATAACTAAATGAAGCCTACAGTGACAAAGTCTCAGAATCCCTGAACTAAACAAGACTTCAGAGGCCATCTGTTTCCAGATGGTTTGCATCAACTCATCTCCTGGGTACATCTGTTAGCCTCCAGAGAAACAGAGTATGATAGAAGCCAATGGTATTATTGAACAGTGGTTTGGGAAGCTGGAACATGCTTTATTTATTTTAGTGAGGTTTTGTTTTGTTTTTTGCTACCAAGCCCTTCATTATTAACGGCGTAGCTTTAGTTGTTATCATCTGTTTTGTAATCCCCACCACTTATGTTATCATCTAATTTATCAACATGTATCAGAACAGGGAAGTTGCATCTTCCCATCTCTCTGAACACAGCTTCCTGTTTTACCTTATTTAACCTGCATCTCCCATCTCACAGAGACGGTTAGTGATTCTTGACTCATAGTTCTTGCCTATGGCCAGGAATGAGAACATCTGTTGGCTACATATGAACATAACCACCCAAGTTAACATTAAGCCCACAGCAATCTTTTGAAATTATTACACTTCTCTCGCAAGACTGGGATGGACTGGCAAAGTGGATTCAACTTTTAGCATCCAGTAGCTATTACAGGGGGAAATCAGGCTAAGCCTAGAATTCCAGCATCATACTACAGAAGAGTCTCGCTTATCCAACCTTTGCTCATCCAACATTCTTCATTATCCAACGCAGTCTGCCTCCCACCTGGATCGACAGCTGTTTCAATACATTGCGATACTTAATGTAAAGTCTAGTCATGTCTGACTCTGAGGGTTGGTGCTCATCTCCATTTCTAAGCTGAAGAGTCGGCATTGTCCGTAGACACCTCCAAGGTCATGGCTGCATGGAGTGCCATTACCTTCCCACCAGAGGTGTACCTATTGATCTACTCACATTTGCATGTTTTCAAACTGCTAGGTTGACAGAAGCTAGGGCTGACAGCGGAAGCTCACGCCACTCCTGGATTCGAACCTGCGACCTTTCAGTCAACAAGTTGAGCAGCTCAGCAGTTTAACCCACTGCCCCATCAGGGGCTCCTAATACATTGCGATGTTTTGGTACTAAATTCGTAAATACAGTAATAGCTACATAACGTTACTGTGTATTGAACTGCTTTTTCTGTCGATTTATTGTAAAACATGATGTTTTGGTACTTGATTTGTAAAATCATAATGTAATTTGATATTTAATAGGCTTTTCCTTAATCCCTCCTTATTGTCCAACATTTTCACTTCGCCAACATTCTGTCAACCTGTTTATGTTGGATAAGTGAGACTCTACTGTATTTAAAATATAGAGAATATAGAGAGGGTTTTAAACATTCACATGTGTAGCCTCAACTTTAAGTAATATTCAAGGGGTCCCCATGCTTATTCAAGGTTCATTAACTTTAGGAAGACTGGTGTCATGCCTGCGATACAAAATTAATTTATGCATATATACAGGCTGAGCAAAAGAGGAAGTCAACAACACTGCTGCACTCCCACTGGATGTACAAGGAAACAAATGATGTATTTATTTATTCGCCATATTTATACACCGCCCT